TTTTCGTTCAGACGACATCGGCTGCACGGAAGCTGTAATACCCTACACAGGTACATTTCTTATGGCATAAAGTGGTATAAAAAGATCTTTCTCGTGATTTACCATAAAACGGTGAGTTCGTATGGCAGCTATTTGTTATACGAGTAGTTGTCCGATCTGAACAATTCGTTCGGACATGGTAGCGCTGCCTTGAATTATAATATACGCCATGGTTGCGTGACGATATCTTGTCAAATAAAAAGTTTTTCATACACTGAATTTTATATGTGAGTTTGATCGATCAGTTTGTATGGCAGCTATATACCATTGTGGTCCATTCTAAACTATTTGTTCGCAGATTCGAGCGATGTCTTAGATAGTAATTTATGCCAAATTTCGTGAAGATATCTTGTCAAATAAAAAAGTTTTTTTTTTACAAGAATATGATGTTTATCGGTCAGTTTATGCGGCAGCTTTATGCCGATATCGACGATTCCAACAAATAAGCAGCTTATTGGGGCGAAAAGGATTTCGATATCTCGAAAACTGAGCGACTAGTTCGTGTATATACAGACAGACAGACAGATGGTCAAGGTCATTACGCTGATCATTTCGGTCTCCGACGTTTCTTTCTGGATGTTACAAACTTCGCGACAAACAAACTTAATATACCCTGTTCAGGGTATAATAATAAGGCTCTTTCACAGTTATTTGCGTGTTGACTAGGGCATTTGTCCAAGAGATATATTTTACGAGTCTAAATTCCTGATGAAAATACGTCAAAAAACAGCACCAAATCTGCACTTCTATGCTCATATTTTTGCTGTTTGTATATTTTATGAGCATTTATAGAACTGCATGTACTATATATAACTAGATTGCGAGCAGTATAATTGAAATGGATGATACTGATTTCGACATGCATATATTTGTAAGTATGTAAGTATGTTTATTCATAAATTGACTACCGCCTGCCTCATTGCTTAATCTCCTTCTATGAGTGAATCGGTCTAGTGTTCCAATCAAAATACATATTACGTAATAACCCACTTATGACGCTGTTGTTGTCTTTTGCAGGCAATATTGCGGCAAAGTTGCGAAATTTCAAAGAAAAGTGCAAAGTAAAAGCTGAAACATTTGCAGCAGATACAATATGTAAGCTACGATCGGCTACGAATTGGCAATTTGGAACACAGTCGAGAGTCGATCGGGAGAGGTGGTGATAATGAACACAATTTTGCCAGTGTTTACCATCATACCTCCCTGTATACATCCACACATACGTATATATTTATAATATATAATATATTTTTATTGAATCAGACTGTTCAACGTCAGCGTAGGCAGAAAGGCATAAAGCAAAAAAGTAATTAACGTCACAATAAGATGATCTCACAAATTCGTGCGCGGAGCAAAAAGCTGTGTGCAGAAAACACATAAAAACCATACTACAATTTAATACAAAATGTTAAACACTAAAGAAAACAAACACGAAATAAATAGCAGACATGCTAAATAAAATGTTGGGAATTATAAAATAATAAAATAAAAATTATAAACATAGACAAAACCAGCAAGAAATAAATATGTAAATTGAGCGAAATATTCCACAAGTGCATTGCTTACAAAAACAAAATATTTTCGACAATTGCCAATTGCTTACGTCTCAAAATTTGATTGGTTCGCTCTCTTCCCCTCCTCCCCTTTTCTGGTTAATTCAAATATCGAAGTGGCAAAGAGTAAAATTTCACATGGTTCGCTCTCTTCCCCACCTCCCCTTTTCTGCTTAATTCAAATATCGAAGTGGCAAAGAGTAAAATTTTACATTAGTTGCCATGGATAGGCCCATCAATAATACAGAAAGTAAAATACTATGCACTCAAGTATGATTATCAGTCTGTAAATTAACATTTCAATGAATTCAACTGGTGGCGAGCGAATTGAAAACGTTAAGTGAACATGAAATATTGACGCTCGCGAAAAATCGCTAAAAGTCAAAAACGAAACGTAGACGGCATACCTGAGGCCGTAGTGTGTAAGGTTAGCAGGGAGTAGGGAGTGTGCACGTGCTGCTCCAAACAAGGGCGTACGGTGGGAAGTACATGAGCATTTTTTTAATTTCATTTGCCCCGCTTACGTCGCCACACCCGTAATTATCTGATAAGATGTATACACACACACACATACACACATGTGACGACTTTGGGGGAAATCAAACTTTTTGCCATTACTGTTATTGTTGTGATATTGACATTAGTTATAAATATACGCCGGCACACAATACATACAAACATACATGCACACAATGCCAACTGGCAAGACGGAGACTGATAAAATAGTCAACAAAATAAACCAGTGCATGCCGAGAAATAGCAAATCAATGCAAACAACAGCAACAACACAATTTATATACACATATTGTACATATGTATGTATGTATGCACTTGTTTAAGTAGAGAACAACATTGAAATTATGATGATGAGAGCGCCGTCATACGATGCTTCCGATAGTTATGCTCCACACGAAATTTAGCAACTAAAACTGATTATTAAGACGAATTAGACTGCCAGCAGCAGCAAAGAATAATAAAGACAACAACAACAACAATCAAAAGTTATCAACAATAAATAACAACAGAAATAGCTCCTGTTCGAGAATATAACAATGAAAAATCACAACTACTTTTCAACAAAATACAACCGCCTGCAAAATGCATTACTTGCGATTACTTCTAAATACATACATACATACGTAGATACATACATATGTAAAAGCAATGAACTTCGGAATCACTTGTTGTACTTGTTGCGTCCTAGATACATATGTACATACATATTATGTTTTGTTGTTTTTGTTATAGTTGATATGAGAATTTTTTCAAACAATGCAAAAGTGCGATAAAAAACATGGTGACAGCTAAGCCAGCAGAAGAAAAGCGAAAGGCCATATACAAGTATGCACTTACGAATACCGTGAAGGGGAAAAGGCGTAAAAGTATATTTGAAAATGCCAACAGACGGACCAAGTGAAGTTTTTATTTTAATTTAACAGAAGTACAAGTAGTTACAAAGCTGTGACCAGCGCGATACCGCCCAAAAATTACATTCAGAAAGTATTTTTTATATGGTGAAGTATTTTCCAGCGAAAATTTGAGAGAATCAACCGAACAGTGAATCCTCACTACAAATTGTTTCTAATTTGATTTAACGATATCACAATTAGTTAAAAATGTTGGTCAATTTGAGCATACCGATAAATTTTCCCGCTCTAATTGGATTTTTTCCATGCTTATCTTATTAAAATTTTAATACTTTACTAAATTAAATATCTTAGTGAGGAAATTGTTCAAAAATTTAATTTCATATTGCAGCTTACTATTAATTTATTTAAAATTTTCTAATATATGTATCTCCAATCAAAATAATATTAATTTAATAATAAAATATTAAGTATATACAAAAATAAACAACTGAATTTTGAAATAATAATAGTTCTTGCAAATTCTGAAATAATAAATTATTGTTAAAAATATGCTGTGATTTAAAGCTAATTTCGAAAAACATTCTGATTTGCAACTATTTTGAAAGCAATTTGCTTTACATGCCTGATGGCTTCTTCAGCATATGCACGCAAGAAGGGGTGAAAGTAAATAGTATTATCATACTATGGCAGGAATGTTTTCGGCGTGAATCACCGAGCCAATACTAACAACGTAAACAACACAAACAATCAAACACTCAACAAAAGGCTGACAAAGAATCTTATTGCATTTTAACAAAACAAAGGTGTCAAATGACGTGGACTTTGCGGGTTTCGTCTGAAATATATTTTAAAAATCTTCAATTCTATATACGACGATGAATTGAACTTAGAAAATTTAGTATTTATAGCTTCTTATCAGTAACATGCCTAGTATGTATTAAAAAAAGTTAAATCTTTGTCACGTTTACATAGATAAACTTAATATAAATCCATACTTAAATCCAACTGGAGGGAAATATATAAGACTCGTACCAATTATAGATTGATTTTCTAATGGGTTACTTCTTTTGACCAATTCTATGACTCCACAATATAAGAATATTGTTTAATAAATTTGTAAACTGATACGAGTTCGGTAGGTTTCTAAACGGATTCTGACAATTGCAATTGTAATGAATTGTTGGAGAAAAATAAACTGCAAAAAATTGTGGCAGAGCATCGGGTACTCCACCGAGAATTCCGGGCCAAGGCAGAATCGTCCCCGATCTTCGCCCGTTCTCCTTCACTAAGTATAGCAAACACTTCAAATTTCTTTTAATATACGTACGTACTAATTAAAGCATTATCAAAAAGAATTCAATTATCAACACACAAAAACAAAAACAAAAAATGCCTTTACATCTAAATATTACGCTATTCGAAATTTGTTTCTTTTTGTAATTGTATAAGAACATACATTTTTTAATACTTTCAAATTAATGAATTGTATGTTTGTCGAACCGAGCATAACAATGCAATCAGCCTTTTGCAGTTGTAAGTGCATACGTTTTTTGAATGTAAACATTTAGCTGCAACAATAGAGGCGCCAAAGCCTTTTTGCGTCATGTCACTGCGTGACACACATTCCGGAAGGAAAATTCCAGCAAAAGCAAACCGCGATTCTTTCAAAAATACCAACAATATGACTTGCCACAGCGAAAGAATAAACAAACTCGCTTTTTATTGGGCATCCAATTCGCTATTGCATCAGAAATTTTTGAGGTACGTATTTGTATATTATAGAGGCAAATGGGCATTAATTTTAGACTGAAGAGCTCAAATAAATACTAATACTAAAACTTTGATCTCAAATATCAATAGAATCATTGACCATTTCCATGAAGTCCATATTGCTATAAAATATATTTATATACGATATGTAGAAAAAACTAACTTCCGAAATTGAGGTTTAGAAAATCGTATTGTGGTATTAATATTTTTCTATTCAAATCGAACGTATCAGAATCGTCATTAAAAATATGGAAAATATTGCACTTACCCCAACATTAATTGACGTGCTAACATGCTGTGCAATACGATTTAGAAATTTTCTGAAAGATGAACGCCTTAGGATACGATTTGTATTTGTGGCCGCGTTGTTGTTGTTGCCTTCATTTCCACCGGAAACTGGTTTACCATTTACTATTTTTTGATCACTAACTTTGCCAATAGTATCTCTTTTTATACTGTCGCTCGCTTTAGATTCGTGTGAGCCACTTACTGCACCACCATTTCCACCATTAGTGTCCTTACAAATGGCTTCGTAGCTGCTTAGTGAAACGATACTACCGGCGCGCCCACGTCCCCCACCAACACACGACGATATCGCAGAATTGCTTCCACCAGCACTACTCGCATTGTCTGCTGCCGAATTGGAAGTTTTGAATTTGCGCGACCACCGGAAGGGGTTCCTTGGCATAGAGAAAGCTCGCCTTATTTTCTTGGCGGCATTATTAGCTGCGGTAGTTGGTTGAGATGCAGGCACAATGATCACTTGCGGCGTTGCCGAAGCTTTTGGAAGTTGTCCATGCTGGTGTTGCTGTTGTTGATGCGCGTCATTTGTTATATTGGAGTTTCTATTATCAGCGGACACGTTCGTCGATGCAGGCGTAGCGCCCACTTTCCCAGGCGTTTCTTCTTTTGTACCCATCTTCGATGTCAAATTATGAAAACTTTTCGAGTTTTACATTAATGGCATGTGTTTGTTAAAATTACACTGCAAATGCGAACAGCATTCCAATTCACGTATCTTCTTTTGTATTTAATTGACGATATTTTCTATGAATATTATAATTTTTTGCTTTGTTTCGTACTTTTTTGTTTCCACGTTCTCTTCGTCACTACTTTGCTTTTTTCCACTTCCACCGACAAGTTGGAAACTTTCCGCTTCGCGATTTCTCCCCTCTTCTAGTTTCTATTTTTTTCTTTTATATTTCGATTTGCTGTGCAACACCCAAACTTCGTTTTAGATGCATATAACGATATATTTCACACTTAGTACATTTGACTTTAGTGATTTTCTAAAACAAATGTTTTCACGATAATCTGCAAAACTTTTCTGCCCTCAATTCAATATTCAGCGATTGGTTTTCGCCCATTTTTTAGTGTTCTCGTCAGTCGCGCACCGAAATCCACAATGAAAGCGAAATAAATGTAACAAAAAGATTACAGCGCCGCCAAAGATTTTGCGGCGGCGTAAGTTGCCAGATTAATCTATTCAATTAAGAGTTGCATTTTTGTTTGAGTTCAATGAATGAGTATAAATTAATATTATAAGCTTTAGTAATTCCAATCTCTCTCTCTATATATATTTACGCTTCTTAAATAAAAAATCTAATTAAACATTTTTACTGGTAGGAATTTATATATAAATCGATAAACGGCAAAATAAAAAAAATATATATATTTTAAAAAATAAGGTAACTCTGATTCAATATAGCCAATATTCTGACGTGTTCTTAACAGAGTTGATTTTTAGGATGGTATAATTTTTTTTATGATTATGAATTAATCTAATTACCAAAGAGCGCTGCTAGAGATATCTTTTAATGTTTCTATTAAATTCTTAGGTCTTTGCACATGTGATCGTTTGTCTCTTTTTTAAGCAAAGAGCTTATGAGTTTGACAGCGTGTATGTGTTAGTTTCCATGCAAATTCTTTCAATGTATTGAACTTTCAGTAGATGTGTTATGCAGAGTAATTTCAACTTACTTTCGAAAACCGTTATTGTTTCTTGTAAGTGGCCGTTTAAAAAAAAAGAATACAATGTTGCATTTCGCTTCGAAAGGATCTATGTCTTTATGATGATTTCATTCCATACAGAACTGCAAATAATAGCGGATATTACCGTTAACCAAAAACTGATATTACCGTTAATATTAAATTCATTTTATTCAGCTAAAGATCTTTACAAAAATGATAAGGGCCCAATAAAACTGGAAAGCATTTTCACGAAATTCTAACTAATTAGTCCACTTATTTGTTCATAAACTGTTAACCACCTTAAGAAAATTCTTCAAAATATATTATTTTGTAGTTATACAAGTACTCAGCAATGTTTTTCAAGCGTTGAGTTTATTTACAAAACAATGACAACGTGCACTAAGCGCTAGTCTTATAAGATCTTCTCACAATCTTAAACATACCTCATTCTGTCCGCAACTGCGAAGCGAAAAGCAGTGTTAATAGAAAGTGATTAAATACTCGTTTGCTATTCAAAAGTAACATTTGTTAACTTGAAAAAGTGATATTCGCAAGTACCAAGTGAGTTATTTTTTTAGATAAAATTTATTTGATAACTGCTATTGTTCATGTTGTGGTTGCTAATATTGACGTCTTAAGAGACATTGTTATATGTATTTACGGGTAATAAACTATAATTATGCAATGTAACCGTTTTATCTCTTTGATATTATCTTTATAGACGGATTTAATTTAATAATCACTATGAAATTCAATGAAAGATATATACAACTTACATATAAACATTATCATTCGAAAATTTGTTTAAAACACCAAAGTTCGAAAAAATTTGACTAAACATTTAATTCCATAGTTAACATTAAAATACATACGTAACCAAAACTAAAAAGAAAAACCATGAATTTTAAAATAAATATAAAAATATCACATCTGCGGATAATTTTCATATGTACATGTGTGTATATGTGTACCCTGTCTTAATTTCATTCCGTTTTATAGAAAAAACTGCCTCTACTGAACCAATGTGATCTACAATAAATGGCTTGACCTAAGATCTGACCCCAAGAATTTAGGTAAACAAATATTTCTTGGAAAATACAAAATAATTAATTTAATTGGGTGTCACGTACTGATTATCTCCGGATGCCAAAAAAATACCAGATTTTGCTAGTAAAAGTATTCTATGTAGGTATGTTGCAAAGCGATTAAGTGTCTCTGGCTACGAAGTAAATAAACTTACTAGTGTTTAATTCAAAGACAACATACTATGACTAGCCATTTTAAACTGGTTTTATTTCATTACAAAAAACAAAAACTAAACTCTGCTGATAAGAGTGCTGGTCGTAATGTTTAAATCCACTTCAAAACCAGATTAAACTGGATTACCCAGAAAAGTACGCACTCGTTGGGACCCGGTCGACTTGTGCCGCTCCATTCGTCAAAATAATGATGCTTTTACATTTTTTTATATTTTCTTTTTGAACCACGCTGCAATTTTCTTGCAATAATTAATACTGATAACGGTCATCAGCCGAGAATGATAGACATACATAGGTATGTACATACAATGTAGGTACGAAGAGCAGATTGTGCCCGCGGTGTACAATTGCGCGTTACCCAGCTTATTTTCGAGTAGCAGATGTTGTTTTTAGTTTATTTATATATTTCAAAGTGTAACAAATAATAATTAACCGGATTGAAGTGGTTAGTTGCGAGCACATGAACTATCACACTTTGCTTGACTGCATGCATGAAATGAGTAGCAGAGGCCTTGGCCGCGCAAGATGACCTATTATTAAATATTTAAACAAAACCCGTATTACGAAATGGTTTTGAAAACAACTTAACTTTTTTTTTTTTTGAAATACCGTCTTCCGTAAACATTCACTCTCTACCGTTAGATGGCGCGCAAATTAGTTTATGAATTCTGTAATAGAGTTTCCAATGCATATTAAAATATTCTGTTGCTCGAATTTCGATTGAAATAGTAAATTAATTTACAGAGAATAGATTAAGTCGTCCCTGCGTTTAATCAATATACATTTTTGGTAAATGTATAGTTTAGGTCCCCCAACTAAGCAGGCCTCAAAAATTAATTTTTTTTTTTAAATCGGCTTATTTTTGCGCGTAGATTACAAATCCGAAAACGGAAAGTGAATTTTTTCAATAATTTATGTATATTTTTCAAAATTTATTTAACACACGTTGCACATATCACATATTCAAGTCACTTAGTTGTTGTGTTGTAGCGGCAAAATTCTGTAGAATTCAGATCATTTAGCTGTAATTACCAGTTCAGCGTGTTAATCATTTTCTTATGAAAAAGGTATACTTAAGAAATGTAACAGTCACAATTTATTTTGCGCCGCGATCTGATGGTATGGACAAATATCGGAGATCGTCGAACTCCTTTCCGCACTGGCGGCCTTGGGCCGCGCTTCAAGAAAATAACCCTGCTCGATCCGAAACCGGGGTGTTCATAATTCAATCGCGTCAAACTCCTTTTCGCTGCTCTCAACCTCAATGATAATTTTCATCACGATGCAGAGTGTAATTATTAATATCACAATAAAAGTGCACTAACATTGATATTTTAATATAAAGTTTCAGAAACGTTTATGAAGAAGAGGAATAAATACACCAAAAAACTTGAACAATATGTGATTTTTTCATAGAAAAAAATAAAACAATTAATTTAAATGTATCACAGTTTTTTATTTTTAATGCATATTTATAAAAAAAAATTAAATAACACGATTTTTTTTGAAAAAGTTTAAAAAAAATAGAAATATTGAAAAAATCCACTTTCCGCTCACGGATTTGTAATTTACGCCTAAAAATAAGTCGATTTCCAAAAAAAAAATCATTTTTGAGGCCTTCTTAGTTGGGGGACCTAAACTATACATTTACCACATTTTTTTTCAAAGAATTTTGTCCAAGTTGCTGATATAATATTAAAGTTCTAAAAGTTAAATTGAAATGCCCAATTAATTTAAGAAAGATATACGCACCAGATACAATTCAAGAGTAAGCTTGGCAACCCATTTTTATTGTTTCTTCTATTTTTCGTACAAAAAAAAAAATGTAAATGCTATAAAAAAGTTACGGACACAGTGAGTGTAAACAAATGAATTCTTTTGTTTATATTAATTATTGACGGGACATTGCGTGAATAAAAGGACAGTGACAAAATAAAATTAAATGTAATATTAAACGACAATGCATAAACTTCAAGTTACTTTTCGTACAGATATATACGCACGAAAATATGAATATATACATACTTACGTATAAATAAAAATTCAAAAATAAAATGTTACCGCGAGGAGGCTTTAAATTCTTAAAATAGTAAAGAATATACATATGTGTAACCGTGTACGTATGATACACATTACATTTACATTGAGAATTAATCAAATTAATACACATATAAATATTATTTGGATAATATTTTAGTCGCAATTTTTTACTCGCACATCTCGTTGTTAAGTGGAGAATTAATTCAATTACGCCAAATAGTCATTGGCATAGTACATTTCTAAAATTTACATCTCTAATCTAGTATATTACCGACTCATGGGCATTCGGTTTGGGCAGCTAAACGAAATTTATTTTTATATCTTATCAATGAGATGAATTTGCTTATCAGTTTTATAAATACAAATAACAAAAGATAAAATGGCTGAGTAAATAGTAATGAAGTGTTTATATCTCGCAATATATGATGCAAATTAAACTCACTTTCTTTCAGTCGCTGTTTCCATTAATAAAAAAAAGCAATTGTTAAACGGCCACAAAAACAGTAAAGCTTAGTCGTATTGCTATTACAAGCCTGTTATCATGGAAGCTGCACAGACGAGTGCAACTGTGCCAGACGGCGGTCGGGGATGGGTGATTGTAGGCGCTGTGGCATTAATAAATGTAAGTGAACAGTTTATAGCAAAAAAGTTTAAAATCAGGATTCACTATTTCGCTTTTAGATGACAAACCAATATATACACTCCGTTTTCGGCTTGCTATTCGGTGCCAAATTAAAAAGTATGCAGGAGCAAACTTTCACCGCGGCATTAATTTTAAATTTAAGCAGTTTGACATTAAATTTCTCCGGTTTATTCATTGGACCGGCTATAAAGACGTTTAAGCAGCGCAATGTCGCAGTGACTGGGATTTTGTTTGTTTCATTTGGTTTGCTGCTTTGTGCATTCGCAACGGAAAGCTGGCATTTTATTGTTGGCTACAGTTTATTTGTGAGTCAAAACTTAATATTTACTTAAAATTAATATTTAATGATTTCGATATCGTTCGTAGGTTGGTCTTGGACTCGGTTTAATAACACCATCCACATTTATGGCTATTAGTTCGTATTTTAACACAAAACGTGGTCGGGCCGTAGGATTATCCTTGGCTGGTTCCGGCGTAGGTCAGGTGACAGTACCGCATGTAGTACGCTTACTTCTAGATAACTATGGTTTTCGAGCCACTGTCTTTGCTATGTCACTATTTTCTCTAATTGGCGTAAGTTTGCTAGAAATTAAGTATATTTTTTCTTTTGGCTTCTAACAAAATAATTATTACAGCTAATTGGCGCTGCGTTGCTAAAACCACTAGCTGCTCCAATCAGACACAATAATCGGCAACATTTGCGTCTATTGTTATCAACAGATGATGAGAAAAACAAATCAGTGCCACCACAATTCAAAGAGAATGAAGCTGAAAACAATAAATTAATGAAGAAAGAACAGGCGAATACTAATGTCAGTCCATCTAGGGAGCATTGCTGTCATAATGTGACCCAGCGATTGGTGCAAGCCATGGATTTAGAATTACTCAGAGATACTACTTTCTGGAGTATCATTGTTGGCATGGGTTTAGTTTACACATCCACTATACAGTTCACTATGTTGTTTCCGCATTTCCTGCAGGTTTGTTGCAAAGTCCTTATCTTTATATGTGTTCTTTAATCACCTATTTTTTTAGTACTCAGTTGGACTTTCGTCTTTCAATACAGCAACATGCATGTCTACGGTGGCTGGCGCCGATATTGTATGCCGACTTTTATTGCCCTGCATCACTGACAAGTTAAAAATACCCTATCGTCTTGTATTCCTATTGGGAACGGTGGGCTTACTTATTTCGCGTGCAGGTATAGTGCTCGGTTAACTTTGTTAAATTCCAGAATAGCGAGTAATTTGTCTATTGGTTTCTTATTTAGCCCTTGCCGAATCCATGGATATGACCACAATCATCGTAATGTCAATTTTTACTGGCATGACCAAATCGGCCACAGTGCTGAACAATAATCTAACAATTTCAAGTCATTGCCGACCAGAAAAACTACCAGGCGGCTTGGGTTTGAATATGATAGCCAAAGGTGTGCTTGTTATTACTATTGGCCAATTACTTGGTTGGATACGTGATTATACACACTCTTACATACTGTGTTTGCATGCACAAAATATTTTACTGTTGTTGGTTGTATTGGTTTGGGCTCCAGAGCTTTTCTGCCAGCACCGGAAGAGTCAGAGAGCAAGAAAGGCAGCAGCAGCAGGAAGTGAAGAATACAACAAAATGAGCGTCTGCTGAATATCTAAAGTTGCGAAAGCACCAGAGTTTGACACAGTATTACTTTTTTGGTGTTATGAAAACCATTTTGAATTTAATACTTGTTTACTATATATGTATTGTACATATTTATAGATTTAAATTGATTAAGTTAAATTATAATGTAATGGAGATTAATGAAGTCTGCATTAACTGGACTTTATATGTGATATTATGCCAATGAACGCAATTCATATATGAATTGCAAGATATTTATTATTACGTATAAGTATGCAAGACTATTTTATATACTTTAACTATAGTAATTTTTTAATTCAAAATATCAAAGAAACTTCGAAATTAATAAAGAAATAAATATTGAAATTATAATTTGTATGCTTGTTTTTGACTGTTGCATGAGTACAAGGCATATGTACATATGTGTTTATGTGCAAGCCATCTAGGGAAGCAGATCTAAAAAACAAAATATTGAATAAGCAGTGTTAACAAATAGTAAGACATATTATTCCCTATACTCGCATAACACAATAAACGTCATAGGGACTATGCATAGAATACTAATTAGTAAAAAAAATGTCTACACTCTACGCAGCCGGTCGATGTGTGCTGCAAATCATGTGAACAAGTGGGACTGCACGAATAATGTATTGACTGCGTAATGCATTTTGCAACAATATTTTGAACATTTTGCAATAAGATAAATAACAGCATTAAATTCAGAGGTTTCACGTAATCAATTGATTTTTATAATGTTCAGTTTAAATCGGTACACTGCAAGTAGCAGTTTAATTCGGAAGAAAAATGCAGAAAATCCAACAAATTGGTGTGATAGCATTTATGGCGGTATAATTATAAAAATACATTTTATTTGACTGAGAATATGATTTAATAGAGCATCGTTCATTTATTTAGTGTTTGCTATTTATGCAACAACAAAGTGAAGCATTGCTGCATGACATTCTCGATATAGTCGATTTACAAAATCTGGACTTGACCAATTATGATTACTTTCGGAATTTACCGTCGCAGAATCCAAAAACAGCTGGACAGGCGAATCTCTTTCTAGAACACTTCCAGAAGAAGAAAGCAGTCCTGGATTATATCGAGCACTTATTTCTGGGGACATCGCCATTCACACAGAAAAGTGAGATACCGTTTAATCCACATTTCGGTCGTGCATGGCGCCCATATTTCCAACGTCGCTATGGCAAGCGTGGTGTGAATTTGGTAGATATGTTAGGTCGGGGATACACATTGCAACAACTGAGACAACAAGGTGCAATCCCAAACGATTTTGGCACACCATATTACCCCACGCGCTAAACTAACACTAAATAGTACAAAACTATTACCTACTCTAATTTACTTATTCATTTTAAACTAAGCATTATTAAAGTACAAAATTTGTTTATTCCGAATTTGCGAGAAGATGAAAAGTTTCATTTAAATCTCTCATACGCGCCTTTTTTGCGTGGAAATATAGAGCACATTGTTACCGCGTATAAATGCATCGCCGTACTTATTTTTGAGCTGCCCATTAACATACTCCTCCGTTTGATCGAGCGCAATATTCATGTAGCCATCCAGACAAGCCAGAACACCTAAAATAAAAACCGGCAGCTATGTGAGACCACCAATCATGTGTGCAGGACAGGATTCAGTTTACTTACCACGGTAATCAACGCCGCTATTTAGCTTAACCACCACAGGTCGCCCATGTATTTGATTTATGAATTGTGAGAGTGCTTCTTTTCGTGACATATTTATTTAAATCAATTTATTTTGCAAAATGGTTATGCTACAAAAAGCATGTACTAACACAAACAATTTTGTGCAATTTTGTTATTGGCAGAATATATTAATCACCACGTTCAGTGGTGCCATATTATGAAATAGTACAATTTAATTGTCGCGTTGCCAGGCTGTTTGAGAATTCTGTTATTAAAGAGAGAATGTTAATGTATGCAACAGTCTTTTTTCGTGGTGGGTTTGTGTCAGCCAGTAATACAAATAGGACGCTCCTAGTTGTGTCAGTGGAATGTATTAAGACTACTCTTCAAATTCTGATTGCGTAGTACCACTTGGTAGCACCTTTAAATTAATACAATTTTTTGTAAAAAAAAATTTTAATGATAGAAGCAGGCATCGTAGTTATTAATTTTAAGGTGGATTATTAAGTTTATATAACAAATTTATTTGTGAGTGTTTAGAAACCATAGCAAAATTAAATTGGAAAAAACTTATTACATTAAAATAAATTAATATTATTTTTAAAAACTAAACATGTACGAGTGTTTGCCTAAGTCTCTTGACAGGTGCCAAAGACATTGACTAATGTATGCCTTCCAAAGGGGTGTAAGTTTTGTATTGATACAAATCCGGACCGCCATAGCCATAGAGAAGTTTTCCTCGTCCGTTCTCGTCATAGTAGGGGTAACGATATTTAGGACTGTAACATAAAAATTTCATTTATTTAACAATTTTGAAACACATTATGGAAATAATTAAGGAAATTTCTTACCGCTCAAAGTATTGGAAATTTGGAGCGCGCGGTTGCACAGTGGCGGAGCCGAATTGCCAAATACAAACTATGAAAAAAAGCAGCTACATAATGGAAAAGGAAGTAAAAGGAAGGGGAAAATTTGACAAAATTAATTAGTTGTAATAAACCGTTAAATATATATTAATTATATATTTGAAGATTAACTCGTCTGATAACTCAATGGTTAGTGGTAATCCTCTTTAATTGGGGCTTTTTTGAAACTAGTATATAATAATGCATACATATATGTATGTACATATGTAAATATTTGTTTGTGTATATGTGTTTATGTATATACATATAGCCAACGTTATTAGAGTTACCATATATTTTGTTAACTCTAAAAGCCAAAATTAAAGTGCAGTAAACCGCAAGAAAGCGAAGTTGTTTAAAATATTGTGTATACTTCTCCATACAAATACTTGCATATATACATACATACATGTGACATGTTTATTGTAATTTTGGATATATTGCAGAAATAAACGTTTTACTATTATTTTCAAGGCTCATTGCAAAATGCTGTAATTTCAAATATCTTTTATGCTCACTCATACTCATAAATAACAGAAATACAATTGTGAGCAAAGAAATAGGACTGCTTTACTTCTGCAGTTTTACACATACATGTATACATGTATTTTATATATATACATATGTACATATGGCTATACAACAGTTTGAGCATAAAAAGGTTGAATTTCTAAGCAAAAACTTAAGCGGAAAAAGAGTAATTCTAAATGTCAGCTTGCATTCTTCCGCTACTGTCATGAACGCACACATTATTGTCTCCAAGTATAGAAAATGCCAATAAAAAATTTTTATTCATTGACCACTGGATGTAGTTCACTGACCAAGGACTCTTGTGCTTCAATTTAAGTCATGCTGAAGAGCTGGACTTCGAATTTAAATAAAGAATTTCCAAACTTTAAATATCATAAATCCCATCTTTTAATGAACCGCAATACTATTGAAGCTACTATGAAGCTGAAGAGCTGTACTTATTTTGATGCCCTCCACAAAGCTTCATGTTGGCTTTTCACTAACAATTGAAATTCCAAACACATCGTAAAGTAACGCCTCAAACAAAAACAGTTTTCGAAAGTGACAATTGGCAGTGGAGGCCACAGCACGTACCTCGGCGAACTCATAGTTTGCTCACTGACTATTTTTCTTTGGTTGTTGTTGGTAAGTACATAGATGGCGGTGCACTGCGGTGCTGCTGCGGTTCACTATGGCTATGCCAATTTAATTTACGCGCAGTAAGTAAGTGCTTTCGGATGTAGAAATTATGTCAAAAATGAAAACCAGTCCAAGTAAAAGGCGCGAGATTTTTCGAAGATTTATTATTAGAAACACATTAAACTAAGTCACGGGTACGTATTATGTTATGTCTGTGCTATGCTATGCAACAATTGCGCAGATCGCTGACCTACATAACAGCCGCCCCAATCGCACCCAACAACAATGCAAGAGCGCCTGCTTGCGCCCATTTTAGGGCTAATTGCCACACTTGACACTTACATGCAACAAAATTGCTACCAATTTTGCCATTTCTGAAAATTTTCTTTAACGATTTTGAAAATAATGAGCCACTTCCGCTTTGTTCGTTGTAATTTCGTTCTTTTCACACTCTTGGTTTTGTCGCGACCGTAACTCGCTTTGTTGGTTTGGCAGTGTCTTCCTGCACGTCAGGTTGGTTACTAAATTTGTCGCTGGCGTTATGTTGGTTAGTAGTATGTGCCCAGAAGCTAACTAGTTGATTATGCGAAGCTTATTTGGTTTCAAAAGAGCTGCATGGAAAATGCGAAGAAAATAAAGAGAAGGTTAAGAGGTGAGAGCGAAACTCACTTAATAGCGCTTTAAAAGTTACGCAGAAGTGCCAGTTTTAAGCGATCAGTTATACTTCAAATCTTCACTTTTAATTTTGCTAAACTTGCAGTTAAAACAATTATATATAAATATATAATATATAAATAAAAATTTGGCATAATTGAGCTATACAATATACTATCTATGAGGACTCGTATTTGATTCTAACTTTTACCACTGAATCACTGTTATTTATGGAGGAATGAGGCTCGATCCTCAATATGCTGCAGCATAATCCTAAAATTCCTCAGACCCGACTTGATGAGAACTGATTACTGATGAGAAAAAACATTTCCAAAAAAAATTGTTAAAATATTTGATCTTAGTTAAGTGTAATAATTCGGGAGAGTTTTCAGTGACCCGAAAAAATCTGTTACTTTCCAGTTCTACCGCCATGTTAACTTCAAAAGTAATTACTTATACCACTACAAACTCCATGTACATGAACATAATTGTGGCACAGATCTCACAGAAAACATAAGACACAGCAACAGACAATAGAAACAAGTAAAACTATCAAGTAAATCTTCAACAGCTTTTTCTCACCAACATTTGTGATCATCTGCTTGAGAAAAATGAAAGTGAAAGTGCGGCTCTCTTGCGTTCAAAAAATATGAGTATTTTGCAAGTGGCCATGGCCCGAAATCAGGAGCGCCCACTCTCATACATTTTTTCACTTATTCCGAGGTCATATTGTAAATTTTGCAAGCAAGTCAATATGAATGTAAATAAATGATCTTCATCGATTTGTATGTCAACAAAGAGCGAAATGGAGAGAATCAATAATAAAAATAGTGCTTATACTATGTATAATGGTATAAATATAAGAGAGTGGAAGACGTTAATAGTTTTCTGTGTTGAAAATTAAGTAAAAATATTACATGCAACCACTACAATGCATTATGTAATCGACGAAACAAAGTGACCAGATTCAGGTGATTTTTTATATATTTTGTTTAAATATCTGTGAGCTGGCACTTTGGTGACAACATTAGGATTATATTTGCGTGTCTGAAGGTAAATAGACTCAGGTTTATAATTGAAAATAGAAAAATAGCAGAAAAGTATAGCTTTCTTCGCAAACAAGCGTAACGTTCACCGTTTATACGACAGTTTGCACTTCAATACTGGCTTTGCTTTTACAGCCAACTACGCGTACTTCCCACAAAATAAATGGAAAGATAATAATTTTGAATAACCGGATGAGTTTGTTTCAAATAGTTTATATATTTCAAGCCATAAAAGGAATGTTTGCTGTTTATGAAAATTTGGGTACGTGAAAACCCTGTATAAAGTGCGTGCTGTGCGTGCTCATAATCCAGCAGTGAATTATTGATTTTGAGCACCATGTGTGTTGAATAATTTTCAGAATTTATTTCTAATTTCTGATATTAAATGTTGAACTTAACTTTAGCTCTTTATCTCACGCAGTAATACGCGAAACAGTAAGAAATACTAAACCATCGGATTCAAATTGACCCGAACTAGCGAAAAGAAAATCAACATTTTCACGTCTTTTATTACAAATCTTTGCTAACACCTTAAAAACGGCTCCTGAGCCAATAAAAGCAAGACTTTCCACACATTTGTTGTTAGCCTCCGTGAATTTTGGTTTTTTCATTTTTAATTTTTGGAGCGCCATTCGGCAGTTTGGACGTCAGCTACATACGATTCTAGCATTGACTCGATTCATACCCAAAACATGAGAGAAATGTGTTGAGTCGATCCATAAGTAATATTGAGATTCCCTGATGTTCTGTAGATAGATTTAATCTTTAATTCATATGTATAAACTTAATAGTATCATTTGACAATTGACAACACAAGTATGTACATATGTATAATTATGATTGACGCATGTTTTGGCATTTCGAAACAAAAATTGTTGAATCGAAATTTGATGCGTTAATAAAACACCAAGGATATGCTGCTAAATTAAGTTGATATCAAAAAAGGGATTTACGATTAGTAATAACAATTTTAATAGGTTATCATGAGCTGAGCTTTGTATATGTCTTTGAAAATTAATTCATGCTTAAAAAAGCAAAATAGTCTTAAAATATTTATTTTAGCTTTATTCATAATTAATTTTGAAAATCAGACTTGTGCCACAGTTTGTAGCTTGCACAGCAATGTAGACCGCTCATTAAAAGCTTGTTGCTGTCTTTCCAGTTTGAATAACGTTACAGCTTGACAAATATCACAACAATAAAAATATTTTGACAACAATTTGAGTAAATGCAATGCGAGGACGCACGTTGCTCATTAGCGGGTCAAAACCTAAAGTGTAACATGTCGGCGTTTGAGCCCTTGATGTTATTATAGAGACTGTGCATCTGAACTTGAAAATACATACTTACATAATATAGCATATAAATGTAAAAACTTTAAAGCTATAACAACAGTAAGATGAAGTTATTTTCGTCGATTTTGAGTAAAATTAGAATAGAAGAAAAATATGATTTGAGTTTAACACAAATTGTAAGAGCTTAGTAGGAACTGCTTCCTATTGAGAATCTTTTGCTCTTGGGTATGCTATAAGGCTATTAGTAAATCCACAATGAGCATTACTTGCTTTCGAATGAGTTGGTGGAGAGCGCAAAAGCGTTTCATTCATTCCATTAGCTAAATAAACATTAAAACAAGTTTGTAGCAATCGCCGCTGGCTTTATGCCAACAATATGAGTTGCCGCGCTCAAAATTGATCTGCGCATGTGTAACAGGTGCATTGCCGCGGCTTATCTCAAGTCCAGTTTCACAAAATATATTCAATGAGCAATATATATACCCTTGAAGACATTTATATTTTCTCTGAAAAAGTTTTGGGTACGCGATCGCTTTCTATGCGCTGATCAACATAAGAAATTTATTTTCTTCAACAATTTGTTAAGGGTTTAAATTGTAACCACAATGTCTATTGGGTATAATACAAAATACGCTTCACATATGCAATTATGTATGAGTGAATATGTGTGTATGTTATAGACGTTATCTTCTCACTTTTCGCTCAAAATTCGATTTTCGCGCAAATATGCCACACACATTGTTTCTTATTTAATCTTTATATGCACATATCTACGGTTACACTCTTACATATGAGCGTAAATATTTTCTGAAGTTGAGGTTGGTTTATTTCATTGCTTATTAGTTGGCGATTGCCGTTAGCGGGGACTGGAGTTTGGAGAGTTCAAATTGCGAAAAGTGCTTTAATTTTATTTAATTGTTGCATTATAATTGAATTGAAATGTTAAAAAAGTGGTGTAAATTTGTGTTTGTAAGTTTTGCTGTTTATTTTTTACTCTTTCTGATAGCGGAGTATGCTCCGTGAAGTAGAATACTTGCACATAATGTCAAATACAAGAACTATAGGCGTTAAGCAATTAATTTAGAGGCAAACAAAAGACTTAAGTGACAAAGCGGATTTTTGTGTTATTCTTTGCATATCTTTGATGTTATTTTTATTAACTGAGAAGCTGCAGCTCCTCCAGATATTAATTGGAAGGTTCTAAATCAAAGTGTTGTTCATTATAATTAATCAGTCGCGTTTCCAAAAGCTTATCTTTTGGCGAATTGTTTCATCTAATCCTAAAGTGGTTTATACATATGGTATTGCAAGTGATTTTTAATTTGCCAATTTATTTTAGTCTTTCTCTAGGTGTACAAATTTTGGCTTATTGTGTGTTATTAATTTGAAAATGTATTTTTTTGATAAGAGAAGTTAACGAAACGAAAATTTAACCATAAGTTACTACAGGTCCGAAGGTATTTTAATATGGTCGCGTTGAACAACAACTGCAACAAATAATCGAGGTGGCTATACAACGAAATTTTGAAAAGTTTGCTCAAGTTTAAAGGTTTTCACCGGAAATTTTGGTATTTATTATATTTGTTTGATTATAAAATTCAATAAAAATTGTGAATATGATTGAACAGGTAATATGCATCAAATGAAATTTGACACGGACGGACATAAAACAACATTTTCACGTCGTTTGGAGCCAATTTAAACATAGCGACGTTCAAAATTGTTTTAAGGCTCGGCTGGGAGGGCCCTCGGTGCCCTGAGTGCCTTCAGAGAATTTGATTCTTTTTTTGCTTCCACACATTTTTGGAACGCCATTCGCTAGACTGTTGGTCCGTTTCAGCGTCTCTACTCGACGCCGTTTTTGCAAAAATATTCAGGTCTTTTGGTACGAGTCTAGCATTGGCACCTTTTATACCCAAAACTTTAACCAAAATGTGTTGAGTCAATGTTTTTAGAGTTGTTGATAAGAAGAGGTTCTTTGCCGTCTCTGTGTTGCTAATCTAACGATTTGCAAGCATTCCATTAGGGCACCATAGATTTTAGGTCGCGGTGTATACCACATTTTTTTAACTGACCTATCCCTGATTCCATTGGAAGCACAAAATTTTAAGTAAACTTGTTTTTTTTTTTTATGTTAAAAAATGCCAGACAAACTTTTCGCCTCGTAAACAAACGGTGTTGTTGTGCCAATCTAAATAACAAAAAAAAATTAAAGAAAATATCGATTTGGATTTGGACCAGTCCAAGTCGAATTTGTTTATATAATGGAGCCTTCTACAAAGTTAGAGGCTATAAACTTTGTTCCAGCCGCCTTTTGTTTTGTTTAGTTTAAGCATAAAATTACTCATACGCCAGCGCCTTTGACCTCAACTAGTACATAACATAACTATATTTTCATATATAAATTTTCAATGCAATTCTTTATAGTGGACTTTAAAACGAACTTTAATTTACAATTTTACATACACCCGTGTTAGGCTTCAGCCGCGATTGTCGTTCTTTACTTCAAGGAGTTTCCTTCTATCAATATGTATATATAACATTGTAAAATTATATCTTTTTCAGCTTACATTCCTAATAGTGCTTACAATCTTGCCTCAAAGTGAAACCTCCGTAGTTCGCCTATTAACAGAGACGCTGCAGAATAATGTGGCTGGTGAACCTATAACGCACGTGCGCACCGAATGGGATTTTGACCCGGAAGTAAGCCAGAAACGACGCGCGCTCTTCTATGAGGTAGAAATTATATACTAACCAGGCAGAATCGAAGTATTAATGTAATATATATGTATGTGTGTGTATCTCTTCACAGGCCAATGGTTATCGTGCAGCCAAATTTATTGAGCGTATCGGCTTGGGACTCGATGGACATGAAGAGGAGCGGCGAGCAGAGCAGCAGGCGCGTGATGTTGGGCGGCTCAATGGCGAACATAATATCAACTTTCCATCACAATCGCATGCGCAGTTCGAATAAGGGAGAATGATGAGTGGAAAATTATGTCTCTAATATAGGAATTTAATATTAAAACGTAGCTCGTTAATCATGAAGACAAATAAAAAGCGAAGAAGTCACTAAATCCATTCTACGAGTAGCTGAGTTGTTGAATGCCACTCGAATGCGACTGAATGTGCACGCAATGCATGAAGTCGTTGGTACTTATATACATACATACATACATGCAAGCGCACACGAGCAGTTGGTGCGAGGGGGCGCAGTGGTATGTGGGGCATTGTCATCATTTTAATTTGCAGCGATTAATTTTCAATTGTGCTTCTGCATGTTGTTGTTGTTGTTGATGATGATGTTGTTGGCATTACATATAATGTGCTTCACAAGGATTTGCATAATTTGTCATTGGCGGTGGATAAATAGCAAAATGGCTTCGGTGGCAACAACGCCGAGCGGCGGGAGGGGTATGCTGCAGCGGAGATGATTAAAATCTCGTACGCGTTTAATAAACGTTATTAGCGCATTGTTAAGCTCATTCCACCGCCTATGCTGAAACGATTGTTGTTGTTGTTGTTGTTGTAGCAGTTGGTTGCCAGCTACAGTCGCGCGGCACAAGCACTCAGCGCGTAGTTACATTATTTGCTTTGCTCTTCTTTTGGTTGACTGATTGTTCTCTCGCCAGCGCACAAGTGCACACAAACACACTTACACACACACACATGCCAATGTACATACCTATACAATTGCATACATGTCCATAGTGATGTGCAAATAAATTCATGTTTTTATTGTTGGTATTTGCCTGCCGAGTGACGGCGAGGGGAGTCGGCTTTGCATTACGGCAAAGTAACGGTACCTACAATTGCTGTAATTACATTTCGCTGTAAACAATGCACTTCATAATTTCATAATACGGCGCATAATTTGAGCCAATTTTCTACTTACATAATCAGGACATTCGTCGAAGCGTGCGTGAAACGGTGAGCGGTGAGCAATGTGCATCGGCTTACGACCAAGAGACCAAGAGTAGTGCTTATTTGCATTGCAGCGGATTCACCGCTTTTGTTGCATATTTCTAGGCGGCAATGCAAAACGATTGCGATGATCGTCATACTGAGTAGTATTTGCACGTGACTACATTTGTATGGCGAAATGCTAATTCTCAAACACAAACTAACATCTCTCAGACATTTGCAGTTGCTTGTTTGAGAATGAACTGTCATACTCGTATATTATATGTTTATTATGCGTGTATTAGTTTCTAGTTGAGTTTTTATTTCATTATTGGAGACGAAATGTAGCTCCAAATCCAAAATTAAAAAACAAACAAAGCTACTGTATTACTGCATTATGATTGCAGGTAATATTTGAAGAACTGGTTACAATTTTGAGTCTTGCCAAAATGGCCGCTTCCCACAAAAACTAGTTTTTTGTGAAAAAATTTTACTTTCAGAGTGGCTTTAAAAGCGAAATTATTGTCAAAAATCTTATTTCTTCTATCATTACCCGACAAATATATCTAAGAAGGTCGTGTGAAAATTTCAAAATGAACGAAAAGCGAAAGCTTCGAGAAAAACACGTTTAAAGTTTTTGGAGTCGTTTGAACTGAGTTGAAAATTACTTACAAATACGTTCATACCTCTGAAGCCATTTGTCGAATCAACTTCGAAATAAATCGAGTTTTTGAAATTCACAAGTGGATATAATGCTTTAATGAGATCATATCAAAGTAATTAGTTTGCTAACTGAAATTTCGAATAGGAATTTTCGGAATTCGAACTCTTTTTGATCAAGGTAAAATGTGTTTAAAAATATGTATGACAATTGTAATAAAGATATGGTTCAAAAAATACTTTATGGTTTCAAATTAAATGATTTCCAGATTGTAGGTATATTTTTTAAACCATTTAATTAATCAACTTCCTTAAAGCTGAGACTTTCAGGAAAGACACTAAATACGAAAATTATAAAATAAATACGAAATGCTTCAATGAAATCGATGAAAAAATCGATAGTAATTCACGCACTTTTGCTTACATATCAAAAATTCGTGACATTGAAATGTTCGGGGTTTTATTAAGAAGAGTCTTTCAAGCAGCTATGGCAATTATGTTAACATTGAAATAGTTAAGGGAATTGTGTCTGAAAGTTCTCGCCGCGAAAGCGTAATCTCTCATCTTCTTCTATGAATTGATTCAACGCATATTGCTTAAAGTTTTAGTTATGAAGTACGTCACATACCATAAACGTTAGTTTAATTGCCTGTGATTACCCACTTCTGTGAATTCTTCTCGAAATTCATATTTTCGATTCCAATAACACGCAATAGGTCAAATGAGGACCTAAGTAATTAATTAGTTAAGTAACTTAAGGTCAACCAAAGATATAGATATTAACATTTTCCTTGCCATGCTCCAATTTGTACATATATACATATAATATGTATATATGTATATATAGAAAGATAGATTTTATTAGTAATTGTATAGAAGCTATCATGAATTAAATAATTATAATTTCTAAAACAACAATTTCCAGCTACTTGATTGCAACATATTACTACAGATAAATGCTTAATTTATATGCATTTGAGTAAAAAATTAATGCACTGATGCAATGAATCAGCTATCAGGATATCATTAATGCGTTAGGTAAACGCCGTTAGCGCTGGAAATTTCATTATCACACCGAATCGTACCTGATAAAGCGAAGCTAACAGCAGGCAAATGGTTGGAAATCATCGTCATATATATATTTATATATGGATAACGGTATATACGTGTAGATATGCAGATACGTGCAAATTATTTATCATTGTCTTTTGTGTGATTAGTTGATTACTTCAATATCGGGGTAAGCGCACATAGTAAATAAATATATGCGTGCGGCTGTATGTTTGTATGTAATAATTGCGATAACACCATAAAATTGTTTAATAAATTGTTAATATACATAACATCGTTAATAATAAATGTGTTGTGCAAATGACAACAAATAAAAAGAGCACACCCACACTTGTGTATGTACATATGTGTGAGGTATGTCGTTGACAATCTGTGTTTAACGTGGGAGTTTTCGCTAGTTGCACAGCCGGTCACATCGTTGTTGTGGTTTATGACACTAATTTAATATAACCGACGTTCAAATGAAATTGTGAAAGGAATAATGGAATGAATTTAATCATATGCGCTCACATTTGTGCGGCTACATACTTGACAAACGTAGTTGTAATTATACTTTTGTATATTGCGTCATATAAGTGTCGCGATTGATTGTTGTTCTTGCAACTGTGGCAGGCAATGCTAAGGAAATGTGCTGAATACACTTAAACGGCGTGTCGCATGTTAAAAAAACGCAATTAAAAATTGGTGTTCAAAATATTTTGGGCCCTTTTTCAACAGATGAAAATTCCTAACCTTAACTTACTTGCTTGGTAATGGGGTGCGACTGAGCTTAAGGCTTGTGAATTTCAAAAAAAATCGATTTCTTGCATTTATATCGAATGTATATAAATATTCATCGAAGTGTTTACGTTGATCTGGGCAAAAGTTTCGAAGTTATGAGCATATTTGTAAGAGTTCTATAAATTAGTGTAATTGGCGCAAAAACTTTAAATGCGATTTTTTCGAAACTCTTATCAGAGTCGGTGAGGAAAATTTGTTCGAAATGACTAGACCCATCGACTGGAAAATTTCACACGACCTTATTAGGCATATTTATTCTTGTGATCGTAGAAAGAATAAGATCTTTGATAATAATTTCGATTTTTTCAGTCACTCTGGAGTGTATATTTTTTTTTGGGAAGCCGGTATTTTGCCAAAAATCAAAATTTTGACTAGTCCCTCGATCCCCTGTACTAATATATGTTAATAATATAATTTTTTTTTTGAGTTTTGAATTTGAGTTAATTTTAAGCAGAAAATCTTCTTCACACCTTTTTTCGGGGGTCCTCGTGGAGGTCGGCTACAGGGTTAAGGGAATCCAAAATTTTTAATGTATCAAAGATTGTTAAAGTACATTACAAGTAAATACTGCAAAGAAGAGTTCACAAAATCGCAAAATGTAACTCCTTGAAGCTACAGATTTGAATGCTTCTAAAGTAGTTCATTTGACCACGATATCATTTCTTGCAATTCATTTCGATTCTCAATTTCTCAATCTTAAGTGAAGCGATGTTTCTTTCTGGCAGATTATTTGGAAATTCATTCTATTCCTATGGTCAAGTGGTATCTTCCTTATTTTAGATGGCTATTCTAATAAATTGAAAGTCCTACACGCTGTGTCGTCTTCGAAAGTCTTCGTTGAAGAGAAAAGTATTTTTCATGCCGAGAATACACACCTAGTTTTGATACTATAGTCTTTAATATGTAATTTATAATTTTTGCTCTGCCGGGATTTGAGCTCATAACTTACTGAGTGCTAGTCACGTGCCAAAGAAAATAATCGTTCTCATATGCGATAAAATGAAATTGTTAAATTTGACAAACATGCTTGCGGTTACTTTTGCAACAGGATGTCAGCTTATCCAACCACAATCATATGGGTTATTTCATTATCACGCCGCGACGTTGATTGGTTTCGATTGCCATCGATTAACTCTGCTCTACAATATGTATAAGTATGTATGTGTGTGGGCACTGCAACAATTGTTGGCTGTTAGTTGTCGTTAGTGCTGCTTCATGTAGTTCATTATCGCTTCATTAAAGCAAACTTATTGACTCGATTGACTCGCTGCGTGCCCACTTAACTGTTCGAGATTACAGCAAATGAAAGTTAAATGCCACAAATTTCACTGATATTAATATACACACATACATATGCAAATCAGATGATTGCATCAATGATGTATGCATTATCTTTTTAAAGCCACAACTACAAGTGTGCTCTACATATAAAGGTATGAATGATGTAAATATGTAGGATTGGACAGCTTATGAGCAATCACGCGTCAATTTTCAACACTTTATTCATAATAAAATTTATTACACTCAAACATCATGTATTCTTTGTACTACAAAATCACTCATTGACATTAATAATAACAACAACCACAATTCAGCAACCATAGCACACACACACACATACGTATTTATATTAAGAATTGTCAAAATAATGCAATAAAT